AGCCTCGCTCCGCGATGGTGTCATCCTATGGGCGTGGGTTTCATAAATTATCCCCTCGGTGGTGTTTTGACGAACGATGGTAGATAAGAATCTTTGACGTTCTTTATGAGGTTTTGTCACTCCCCTGAATGAAAACCTCGAAACTAGCTGTATACGATTCATTTTCACGCCAACGTTAAAATATTAGCTCTGTTCTATCTTGAAGATACTCGAATAATTGAAAATTTTCCAAACGTTTCGCTCATAAACGTCTGAACATATATCCGTCTGAGCAATATCGGTCCATTCTACTTAAACGTTCCTTCGTAATACGGAAATTTTCTTCGTCAGTTTAGTAATCTTGCGTTCTCGTGGTGTATATACGTTAGTCGATGAATTGGACACATGAATGAATTGACACAGTACGAAGAGTGGATTCGCGCAATAAAGCTGTAACAAAATTCCTCATCGAAAGGCGTGATAGCAATAACGATAAAGCAATGAAGACGTTTCGAGTCTACGATTCGCGGCTTGTTTTCGTCTAACTGACTCGTATCATCGGAAGGGTTATTGTCAGACCAGAGAATGACGTGAGACGGTCATTTCGTTCCGATTCACTCAACCGCTCGTAAATTCTCTTCGTGACCTCGACTCGAACGCGTCCGTATGGTTGCGCGACTCAGCCGACGAATATACCACGGGGCGTAACTGCAATTTCAAGAACCGTGAACACCTTACGCCTTCTTTTGACGTTTCACCTTCGTGAATCTTCTTTTAAGAAATCAGCCTCGTTACATAAGGCGTGGCACGCGTGTGCGTTGAAGAATGTCGTGTGCACACTTGTTCATCGAACTCTTTACGTAGCCGCTTCTGTTTGCCTTTCAAGTTTCGGCAGAGCCAAAGATAAATACTCATGGTCCTCGATGCTCGGTTTGGCGGTTCGAGCATTCGATAAATTAATGGACAGTTTGTTACACCGCTCCAATCTCTGACTTCGAATAATTCGCCATGACGAGCTTGAAACGAAGGCTCTCCGATGCTTGTGTCAGGTGTGAAAGTAGCAAATTCTACACCTTGAAAATCGGATTCGTTGCGCTTCATTTTCGTAAACAGACGAATTCTGCTGAGTAACGCGGTCGTTTCGTAACTTAACCGTGCTAACGCGCCATTCAGATATCTTTAGGGACGTTAGATTTTTTTGTAGAATTCGCTGGATAGTAAGAAATATCGCTTAGAAACTTGTGATATTGGCCTGCGATCGAAGAACTTGGAATCAAGCGATAATTTCGGAAGATAGTCACTTTTTCCCCTTTGATTTCTCCATTTTCAAGTTGTACGAGAGTTAACAAATATTTATTTGGAATTTTCCTGCCATTCTGTTATTATATAATAAATAAACGACTAATGTGAATATTTTGGCATTTAGAATTGCCAAAGATCGTTATCGGGATTGTTGTTTTATATAAATTTTGTAATATTCTGCTCATATTTACATTCTGTTCCATAACTTGGAATATGTCATAACACGATCGCTGTGAAAACAAATAAGTTGAATTGGAAACATTTAGTAATGATCTTAGCCATAGACATAATTTTCGACTAATGTCTACCAATACCTTTGAATATAAAGCTCGATAAAAAATCGCATCGTTCGATCAGATCGTCAGATTAATTAGATCGGAAGATTAAAATCGATCCTTCGAAGCGATCCTTCCCTCCAAAGCAGTCAGGGGAGAAGAAAAATCGAAAAGGCGTGGAGGATGCATCCGCGGCCGGTTCTGCATAGTTCACAGCCGATTAAACTTTCCGTGGGACAGTGACGTAATAGCGTGGCCGTGGTAACGAAGGCGACCGTGCAACCGTGATCCCTTCCACGCTCGCGGCGTTCTTGCCGAGTGGCGCCACGTTTCCGCGTTTCGTCCCTGGCACGTGTTAGATTAGAAAGTGGCGGGGATGCGTGATACCTTAGAAGCGTTAAAGGGGAATATATGGGATCGTAGTGGAACGACAAAGAGACAATGACAGGGAACGAGACGAAACCCTTTGAACGAGAAAGACAGCGATAGAAGGTGGCAAGGGGAATCCGGCGAAGATCAACCATGAACAAGCAGAAGAGAGAAACAGATAAATACTGAAAGAGATAGAAACTAGAAATTACAGAGAGAGGGAGAGAGAGAGAGAAAGAGGTACCACGCGAACTGAAGTTCTACTAGCCTTAAGCAATCTCTCCCCACCCCTCTTCGAAAAAGTCGAATCTTACTTCCCCTACTCCTGGACGTTTCTCCTTCGGTTCCTCTCCTCCCACCTACGCGACCTTCCCTCTTCTTCCACTCGTGCCTACCGCCACCCGGCCCCCCGAAAGTACACCGAACTCACACTATTTCGTCTAACCGCATTTGCATCGGCACCGATGACCCATATTCACGTTCTTTCCTCCGCGACACCATACCATCGACGTCTTCGATCCTCCTTCTCTCTTCTGCCACCGGTTCCATCTACTACTCGTACACACGTCGATCGCGTACGATCCTCCCGCGCGCGTACGTCGTCGTCGTCGTCGTCGTCGTTGTCGTCGTCGTCGGGGTCCTCACCGTCGTCGCGGCTATCTGTTCCTCTACCGCTCGCTACCAGTGAGTAGAAAGAAGATAGAGAAACGAGCACGCGTGCACGAGTAACGGAGAACGAGTCAGTGAGAGCGTACTTCACGGTGAAGGAGAGAAAGAGACACGCGACGACGGACAGTTACGCGTGATTCGTTCCTGCGAGTCGCGACGATGCGCGATGCAAGTCGGTGACTCGATTTCGGCCGGCTAAGACCAAGTAAACTCGGCCCAGTGTATACGCGACCAGTGTTCCGATACACTACGAGAGCATCACGCGGAGGGAACACGCGACTTTCGTTTCAGTTTCATCTTTCACTGCTTTGCCTGTCTTTGTTTCTTCTTCGCTCGCTCGTTCGTTATTCAAACGTACGCTTTGTAAATCAATGTTATCCGGTTGCGTTTCGTAACGTTTCGTTGTACTGTGTTCGTGGCTCGAAACAGGGAGCATCAAGTAGAATCAGTGAGATCGAGGAACACTTCTGGAGGATCATGTGCCGCGTGAACACGTGTACGCGAGACCGGTGCGCAGAGTACTGCTGTCGCTCTGTTCAGTGAGTTCGAGCCAGCTCGTGACTCGTAAATCGGCAAAAGTGATTCGTACAATCGAGATACGAGCGTGTATCGTGTGATCCCGAAGTGGGTGTCGTAGATATTCGAAACGCGTACGGATTATCGCGAATGGTGCGCGATCATCGATGCATCGGTGTCCCTGTTGAGGTTGTATCGAGCGGATGGTAATACGGTCCTGAGCATCGGTAGGTTTCGCTCCGGCTTTTATCGCTCGTATCACGGAAATCCGGTTAGAACGTTCCATGACACGGTGTAGAGTACGAGTAACTCGCGGTTAGCCAACTGATTCGATTCGATGATTCGCATCCCCGGTTTGCTCCATCGATCTCTCGAGCTGGTGAATTACCCGTTGCCTTGACGATCGCTGGGTTACAGACTCGTCTATGGATCGTAATATTTCGTCGATAACACGATTGCTCTCGGATGGATATTGCGACTCGTATCGTGACACCGTGAACATTTCAAAGATTTGACGCGTATTCAATAGAGCTGTTATCGTAGACGACGGTTACGCTTTAAGATACTGCTGTAAATGTTTTGATACGTAGTGTTTTATACGCTGCTTTTATATGTATGAATTGTTGATGGTTTATAAAGGAAGATTGCTTTCTGTATAGTTGGACGAACTGTTGGGCACGAGCGCGATCAAGAAGGAAAATACCTACTTGAAGGTGGCAGAAACAGGGGTGGAGAAGGTCACGGGGTCGGGCCTAGGGGTGGCATCATGGACTCTCATCAGCAATTCTGTCTCAAGTGGAATAGTTTCGGTAGCAACCTAGCGACAGCGTTCTCGAATTTGTTCAAAAGCGAGAGTCTTACCGATGTCACCCTATTCTGCGAGGGTAAGTTCCACTCGTATATTACTTACAATTAACATGTTTATACTTGAGCGGGTATCTTAAAGATTCGGCAATTTCATCTACGTTATATATTATCACGATATCTCGTTATGTATAAAAGAGAATCTCGAGGATCCATAAAAACATGTCGCAACGACGATGCACGTACAATCGTCTTCGAAATCTTATACCTTCTTAAATCAAAGTTGTCACTGCACGCTTCGATAAATCGAGTATTAACTGTCAGTCGGTGTCGTTGAATCGTAAACGGCACGTAATGGTATCAGTAAAGTTACATAATTTCAGAATACATAGACTACACTTTTGTTTTAACCCATATCCCGTATTCCACGCGATAAGAACCATCAACGAAATCTCTCGCGTAAAATACGAAGCAAAGATGGAAATTAAATAACCGGGTCTAAATCTAATTCGACTTTGCGATCATCTGTAAACCAACCGAGAGCTAAACGCGACTTCCACCAATTCATTTATCAATGTCGAGCCATTGCAGTGACGACGCGATATTCGAACAGCAATCACGTTTCCCTGGCTTATCAGTCAACAACAAAATCTAAAGATTGCTGAAAGAAACAATAGTTTTCGCACGTGGCCGGAAGCCTTTCGTACCTCCAATGTCTGACCAAAGCGACGCCATCACTCCTTGCGCGCGAACACGCTCTCACCTGCCGACCTCTGTGCAAACGTATGCAGGCGGTCACATGATTCGCGAGCCGGTGCACGTGTGCGGCTGCAGGCGAAGTGCAGCGGCGGCAGATTGGCCCGCCTCCTACCCCTGTTTCACCCAATCACGCGGGGCGAGTCACCACTCGCGCAGAGTCAGTCGGCGTGCATGCGAATCTCTGCCAGCCTTGCACATCGTTCTATGTATACACCGTATATACGTATACGTATCGTAGCAAGCGGATACACGCGCGTGCAGCGTGCTACTGGTGCGCGCGATTTCCCCCAGTGCGAATGCAACATTCTTACAGATTCGTCGCGCGAAACCGCAGTTCGCGGTGAGCCGCGGTGCAATCCACTCACGCTTGCATTGCGTCGTTCCTCGTGCGTGTCATACTCGTATCGTACTCGTATCGATCGCTACGATGCATCCGACTGATTGTTCGTGAATCTCGCCGAGAGTTTCTTCAAAAATTTCTACAGAATTTATGAAGAATTCGTCGGGGCGATTCGTAGAGAGTCTGCTTAGAAGTTCGCATGGGATTTGCAAAGAATTCGTGTAATTGTGGGTATAATTCGTGGGAAAATATCGTGGAAGTTGTATAAAGAATTCATCGATTCGTAATCATAAAAATTCATGAAACCGGTAATTCCTAAAGAATCGATTAAAGAATTCGTATAAAACGGAGAAAATGAAGAATTCGTGGAATTATAGTTAAAAGATATATTCATAGAATGATCGATAAAGAATTTATAAAGAATTCGTTAAAAAGTCCGCTGGGTCGAAATAGGTATTTTATCTGTGCCTGGGGAATGAACGTTTCGATCGAGTGGATTGTTTTAATTTATCGCCACGCGTGTCCCGTTTATGCAGCCACAACAGAGTGGTTTCCGGTCCTAAAATAACAGACGCGGATATACATCTTAATTGATAATGAATCGCGTTGATGCAACGATATTTCGTCACTGTTCGCTGGTTTTGCTTCGAGCAGAATTCGTTTTGGAGTTTCTGTGATGCCTTGTCGTCGTAGCCTAATGCGATCGTCGCATGATTGTTTAATGTGCATCGTGCAGGAAAAGTTATCGGTGTCTGATTTCGGTGATGCGTTAAATAAACACGTGTCTCGTGTGACGTAAATATTTGACACGACTGGATTAACATAATCGTTTAGAGTTCACTGCAACGATTTCCTCTATCTATATTACGTGTTATAAATTTAAGTATCGCGCTACGTTCTACGTATTGTATTCTATGCATCGAGCAAAAGAAGATAATAATATGGCTCCTGTTTAATTTGAATACCATTTGACTTCCTAAGTAATGCAGCCTATGCATCGAACAAAAGAAGACAATGGAATACTCGATGATACCTGCATACTTACACAGTTCGTATGCCAAATAGAAATGCGTCACGAGGGCAATCGTTATTGCACGATCTTGTTCATATTTACACTGCTAAAAATTGACTCACCGTGTGCAACGAGTTACACGCGGAGCGAAGACTACCGAGGCTTCGCGATTGCGACGTCAATAAATTTCGGCATAACTTATCAGCCACAATGATAACGCTGCTATAAGCCAACATACGAAACTGGATATTTCTTTCGTTATCAACTCTACTGGATAAAAAAGAATGTGCAACTTTCGAGACTCGTGCTCGAGTTTCTTCTAATCTCCGATGTCATGCCCTCGTAAACATATTGATCAAGTAATTTATATGTACATACATTGAAATGATCCGAATCATCGGAATCTTGCGTGCATAACGTGTCACGCTGCATCGACGCTACAGTACCGTTATAAATTCTATTGTCGAATACAAAAGTATGAGTGAGTAGATATTGGTGTCACACCGACTCAGACGCGGCTAACGGCGTTCTGTTAAATGCAGCAGCACGTAGAGAAAGTTGTGAGTTGACTAGATCGACTGATTAATCACTATCGCTCGCGAAGACCGCAGAACCGCTCGTTTAATTGGTTAGTTAGCCCACCACGTGCCATCGAGCTGCTTTTTCCCCATGATAATCGTAAGAGCTATGTGGATCGATCGAAACGAGACTAAATGCGCCTGGTCTTCTTTTATTTCTAGTGGCAACATAATCGATCGACTGTTGTGTGCTGGAAATTCTAATAGCGTGATATCACCCATAGATACTTGGTTTTCCAGCATTTCGTTCCAACGATCAGGAATTTGCGAAAGACTCTTTAGGAAAGTTGAAATTCTAAGAAAATTTAGATATATCCTCTATCGGATGTCATTAATTAGACGGATTTTTCTAATATTTCCTAATAGTTCACTATTTTCGTGAAATTAATGGATAGAATTGTTTGCTTTTGATTATCGATATTGACATCTTTGTGTGAAAAATGTCACTTATAGAAATTTTGTTGTACTCGTTAAGATTGTTTCGCTAAACGAATATCAGCGAAAGACGAGCCAAAAAGTGTAGTGGAAATAATAACACAGATCGTAATTAGTGGACATGCAGTGACCGATGAAATGGACAGTCTTCGTAAGAATCGCAATTACCCAATTACGTATCTTCTGACATATCGAACATGTAATCGAAATCGTTCCACCAATATCAATCTTCTTTGCTTCCCTCTGAACATCTCTACAAATTCATCTACATTTAGGCTATTTTTTCGCGACGAATTCTCAACATGCAACTCGCGTCAATGTCGACGTCGGGCAGCTAAAGTCCAACCGCGCGATTCGCGATAACCTTCGCTGGCCCCGAAACGGGTGGACACTTCCGAAACGGACGTTTTTTACATTTGTACGCGACGCGATATGAATTTTTGTTCGCGCGTGCAACGATCTACCCGACTGTCCCTATTCCCCTTACGGTCTCGTTTCCTCCGACGAACGCTCGATTCTCCTTTTCTAACGCTTTCTCTCTAGTCCACACGCGCGCGTCCTGATTTCACGAAAACAGCCTCTAACGCGCTCTGCCTAGTGGAACAGTTTCTTTGAAACGAAGGGAAAGGAGAAGTTTCCTTTCCAGTCTCTCCCGTAGAGTTCTAACGAAGGTCGTAGGATCTGCTCGTCTCGTTGGGAAGGTGGACGAAAGTCGACGAAAATCCGTAGTCGCTCGTTCCTCCACTTCGATGGGGAGAAACAGGGAGGAGTAACTCGATGCTTTGTCGCCTGGAGTGTGGTCTTTCTGCTCGTGAAGCTAGAGAGGGTGAGAACCTAAAAGGGAGGTCGGTAGATGGGAAGGGTTCAAGGACGACGAAGTTTGCTGTCGAGGAAAAGGGAGGTAAGAACGTAGTAGCGTGCTCCAAAGATGAGATCGTGTGGTTGAGCAATGCGTATGCTCGTCTGGTTTAGATGTGTGCGCATGTACAAATGTGTGTTCGTATGTATACGTAAGTACATGTATGTATATATGCATATATGAATGTATGTTAGTATACATACACATATATGTGTTTGAAAAACTCGTAAGGAGATTTGCTTTACTTTTAGTATTTTACGTTATAAGACACGTATAATACGGTTGAAATAATAGATAAATAATAAAAATGCTTAGAATATAAAAGCTGCGAGAAGCATATGATTTATATAATATACTAAATGATAGTACACTGACAGTGTATGTAAGAATATGTATGCGTATGTATGTCGATGCATATGTATACATATATACGTACCAGACTATGCGCACAGATGTATGTAATCGCTGGAAGGTCCAAAGGAAGACGAAAGTAGGTCTGGGTTACAGTTAGATCTAACAGTCTTCTTCACGGTCTTCTTCAACCGTATAGGCGATGCATACTGTTTCAAACGTATCGGGCACGTGGTATACGCACTGGCACGCAGCACACGTATATTCGTATTTCTATATGTATAAATGCGTGGGACGTTGCGTATCTTTCGAGCTTGCAAGTAACTTGTGGTAGAATTTCTGATCGAAGTTGGAACATTGAATATAGGGATGGATTAGACGTGGAGTTAAGATAGCAGAATTAAGATTGTTATTCGCTTCGTTTTCTGATCCATTGTTATTATACTTTATACATTTGCTTTGCTTTATAAAGTTCTTTGTTTCCTTTTCGATATAGCCTGTTTTAATAATGGGATTATTAATTGTTGTTTAGAAAATTAGTAAGTATGCAAACACTTGATACATCGAGTTTAGTTCACAAGCCACATTGATCTATCCCATAAATCGAAAAACAAAGAACGACGATAACGTAAGAGACATTATTTTTTAGATGTACTGTGAAATCTCGTATTACTTGTGTCATCTTCTCGCAATAAATGAACTCGTGGAAGTAGATACCTAATCTATTTCCAGAATAGTGAATGTTAATCGCGTACATATTTAATGAAATTGAGAAACTGACTAAAGGTGAAGTTTGGTTTCTGGGAGGCTCGAATCAATATTGTAGAATCGAAAATAAATGTAGCGCATAAACGTATGGTTTATATTAGTATTGATTCAGCGTTGGAAGTTGCATAACATATCAAGGCGAAAGATAAGACTCGAGTACATAAATCTTTCGCCGTAAGAAATGTGTCAAGCACGAAGTAGGAACACGTGTATCTGCGATATGAAAATATTCGGGCAAAAATCGAGAAGAAAAGAAAAAAAAAGACGAATTACATACAAATCGAAATTTACAAGCGTTATCAACGAAACGCGAGAAAGTATGCTTGTGAGCTGTGTGCGCGCCCGTGCGATCAATCGCTTCTGTATATGTGTGTAACGTTACAAGATTATACGGAGTGTGCAAGCGACACGTGGAACGTTAGACCAGAAACATTCATATACCGTTTTGTTAGTGTCCGAGCGGAACTATCCCGGACGCTGTCCTTAGATGCGAAAGACGGTCTCTTATGCGGCCATCGCGACCAAAATTCATTTGAATATGACCCAAATAATTGCATCTATTTGCATGTGATACGCGTGGCTTCTTAGAGTAAACGTTTAATAATTTTTCGTATTATTAGAAAACTAAGGAGGTTTCTTATATTGAGCAAAAGCTGCTTGTTTTAGCGACAGAATCTTCTCTTTTTTTTACGCGATTATTCCTGCTAAAGATATCAATATTAAGCGAAGTCGTTTTAGCGCCGTCGAATATTTTCGCTCTGTTCGTTGCTTTTTACGTGTTGTGAACCGTATAATATAAGGTCATGGCATAGTTTTATGTAAATATACCATTACTGCTCCTCTTACGTTATTGTTACACGCAACGAACAAACAAGCCTTCTTTCGTTGTTATATATCTCAAAAAATATTATATTATTAAACATATATATAACGTTACCTACCCCTAAAAAAAAAGAGAGAAGCGAATCTAAAAATCTGAAAAAATATTCCATTTCAATCGTTTCTCGAGTGTAAGAAGCAAAAAGAATTCGAGTTAAATTTTTTCCAAATCATGATTTTAACTAATTTATAACATCTATAAAGCAAATCAGTCATAATTTCATAATTATAAACCTCCTTCCACATCGTAAATCCATTAAAAACCTAAAATCCAGCAATCTTAGTCATTCTGAATATTCATAACACAATAATTTCCAACAGAGGAAATACATTAGCCGCGTATCGTTATTACGCGACACGAAATCTTTCCGCCAGATTATATTTCGGGCGTAGAGAGCGTGATTTGACCAAATCCACGACGCGACGTAGTCGCCGCGATACGAGCCGTTGTGAACGATTATCTTTCGAGATCAATCGTTGTTATTGGGTCACTGTGTTTAGTGCAACGCGATAACGCGTGGGCAGACACAGTTCCGAGCGGCAGCACGGTATCTGGGTGAAGCAAAAGGGTCGGCCATAAGCAGGAAATTAGGCCGTGTCGTTGGTTCACCGCTGTATGTTGCAACCAGAACTCGAAGTGACGCACGCGGAAACACGCACAGATGCGTAGCCACCGTGCGTGGCTGCATGTGGACACGTCGTGAGAACGCGACACATCCTCTGTCCTATGAAATCCATATGTTTTACAAATTTTTATCCGCTATGAAATATCGCTTTTTGTTACTATACTGCGTTTTAGGCCTGGAAATGTTTGTTCCAGCGTGAAGCACGAGCTATATCAGCTTTTATTATTAGTGGATTCGACTTTATCGATAAATTTGCCGTTAGAAAGAGACAAAGTAGATTTATGTAATACTGTTTACGAATTGTAGCTATTCATGCGATGGTGATAATTGTTGTACGTATGTACGATTATGACAATCGCACGAACCATTTCTCTGTTCCATAGAGTTTGCTAATGTTTGATCATGGAATTTCTTGGATGGTAGACAATTTTCGATTCTCTTGTAACGTGCTTATAATTTTTCTGAATATATTATAATTAGTTAGTCATCATCTTAAAGAAGGAAGTAATGTTCTAGGATGACTAATTCAGTAAACGGTATTTGTGTGCATAACATTACATTATCGTCAAGGTAAATTTCATTAATGTCGAACAGTTCCAGAGTTATACTTATATATTTATATAATTTATTTTAAAAGAAATATGGGAGACTGTTTGCAATATTGGTGTTAAATTAACGACAAGCTATACGAGTCTTTGGTAATTCGCATCTAATCGTCACTATTCAGGTTCTTCAGAATTCACGTTCATTGATCGCGTACGATACACGCACGCCTTCTAACCGTGCACAAAAATAAAATCAAACGCGCGTTATCTAGTCGATAAGGCTGTTCGAACGCAGGTACACTTCCGCTATTTGAATTTCGAACGGCGATTCAAAAATATAAAGAATTCTCGGTTGAACGTAACACGCTGTTGCTATTTTTATTCGCGAACATAAAGGGGTCTGTGTCCGGACTCTACGGTCCAAGCCGATTTTCTTCAGGAAAATCGTAGAGAATCGTCTAAATAAATACTTCCTATTATTCTGCGGGAAATATTCAAAATTTGCGGATATTTTTTAACCGAAAAAGAAATATATTTTGTTAATTGTATCATTAAATTGCTTTCATTAATCCTGCTATATATTACGTTATCAATCTTGTTACATCTATTGGACCATTTTCTATCTCTAATTGTGTTTTTATTGTCGAAACATTTCTCAGCTTTGAAGAAAATATAAAGCAATCGTTGCTTTAATTATAATTTGATTCCAGATACGGAGAATACATATTTACTGTAAATTTTTAGCACTTTAGTGAAGTTTATAGTATCCCACAACTATATTTGACAGTTTACTTGAGTCTTTAGTGGTACATTGTCAAAGAGTCGAAATATTCAAAATCCTTCTCTTTGTTGAAACGAAACACATAAAGTTCATGTATTTATGTATTAAGTACTTAGCTTACTTAAGTATATAACTGTATTAGTTTAAAAAATATAAAAAAATATGAGAAATATTGGTTATCCGAGCGAAAAATAGAGATATGGAACGTAGTTTAGGAACGATCGCAAATCATGTATAGTCGAGTACAAAGAAGGTTTCAGAAACTCGATGTACGACCGATATAAAGGGGACAACCGAGAAATGGGGAGTGAACGTACTTGACTCGTAAACTCGAGAACTCAGTGAAGCAAAATATACTTCTTAGAGTCAAGGTTAGCTCTGATGCAACAGGATGCCGGCCATTGACATCGTACTCCGTCCTCTCATCAATTCCTACTCGTACACGCGCTAGTAATTCGCAAACTTTTCTGCGTCTTATTTATCTTTCCACGTTATTACGCACTAATTGAAAAGTCTTTTGACTATCAATGAATTGTAATATTTTAAACTTTCACGACGACACTACCTTTGGTACCTTTCACATTTGGATGAAGCCTTGTCTTCAAGATATTTTCTATAATTTCTATGTAGTTTTCGTGAAACTAATCACGAAATATGTAATCATTTTTTTAATGTAATTCTTTCTATTTTACTCAATAAAGAATATCATTTTTTCTATCAGGTAGACATACCTACGTTAGAGGTATAACTTCACCTGACTCCGTTTAATTTTATCTTTGACTCAAAATAATCCAAAGCCATTCGACTTCTTATCAAATATCAAAAATACTCAATCTTCAACGTTTTACGTATACTTAATCATATATCTCTTATTTATTTCAAATTGTATCACATTCCTTTCATGTTTATTATATCCAAAAATCATATGTCCGATCACTTAATGAGAGTAACAGAATATCAACTCGCTTAAGCAATAAGACGACGTATCAATTTGATGAAATACAACTGTAATTCAGCTTTCAAACGCGACCAAATCGTTCGTCGGTCGTTCAAATATTTTGTCGTTGCTTTCACAACATCTCATTCCTCTCG